TCTCTCTCTCTCTTTCTGTTTTAAATAACAAAAATGAATAGCATCTTCTCAAAGATGAATTCTCAGACTACCGTTCATAGAAAGAATGACCAGCAATTCTCAGTATTTCATATTTCTCAGTAAAACCATTTCGACTAATTATATTTTTACGCGTTTTATAGTTTGCAGAAAACGCTCAAAAAAAGGAGAAGCAAAAATGAAAATAATGTTTAATATTTCCAAAACGATTTTGAAACTTCCTTTGATTATAAAGCGGCAATAGTATCATGAATAATATCTATTTGCCGCAAACAATATTCTTCGAAATTTTAAGCAATGGCAAAATTGTCAGTGATTGATTAACTAATTAAACTGATTAAATGAATGATTGAATAATTGAACAATTGACTGCCAAAAGATTTGTTTAAATATAAATATAATCAGCAAGGTACAGTTGAAATTTTAGTTTTTTTTTTCTGATGATTGGTTGACGAAAAGTGATGCAATAGGAGGATGCACGATGGTGCGTCTTAAATAACGTATGACTCTTTCCTGTTCGATGCGTTTAAGCAACAACTGTACCTCTGACATTAACAAAATCTATTCAACAAAGATAAAAGAAAGAGACAGAAAATATCTTTGTTTTAACATTTATTCTTAAATTTAAATCTAAATTGTGGAAAATCTGCTTCATTTCTACTCTAAATAAATTTCGGTTAAATGAGAAATTTTCAAATATATAATTGAAAATATACAATATATTAAAAAAATAGACTTTGGTTAAATGAAAAACAAAAAAATATAATTGAAAATGTATATAACATATGAAAATATATAAAAATATTATAATTGAAAACTATATTTGATATTCACATTTAAATTTCCATTATATAAAGTAAGAAGCACTCTGAGAGGCTTTACTGATTATACTATCAGTACCGCCGGCTGAAGATAAATCTTTGCCTGACCAAACAGAAAAGGTGATCGGTTATCCTATGTTTTCAAACAAGCTGTTTTCTAATTTCGAGCATATTTTCTGCCATAAAATTTTTGTTTAAATCATTGAACAGTCAGATTAAAATTTCTCTCACTTCTTTTTAATATAATTTATAGTTTTCAGGTTTCATAAGTCATCGTTCAAAATAAATTGAAACTCTAATATAATGCGGTTAAAAAATTTTTATAGCTTTTCAATCTGAAAAATTTTCACATTTATTTCTTTTTAATACATTTAAGTTATTGCATTTAACATCATTCATATATTTATATTTAATGAATTAGTATTTATCTTTAATTTTATAATTTCTATTGTAAACTAAGTTATAATGAACCAATATGCATAAATATTTCTTCGAAAATGTGACTGTAAAATTTACATTAAGTCACTGTAAATACTGAATGACTGCGGCTATTTTTATTGATACATTTTGACAAATTTGCTATGAGCAACTCGGAAAATTAAGTAAATATATACTCGTTTATCAACACAGAAAATATCAATTGTTTATCAAATTTTGACAATAAACTTTTTTTCTGTAGCAATAATTAACGCACCAATTGTTTTTTAAGTTATAAGTTATTATTTATGCAATGCTAAATTTGGAATGGTGTATCAATTTTTTTATAGCAGCTGAAAAATTTAAAACGGCGAAATGTGTATATTGAATATCATTCACGTATTTATTCACATTTGTCAGCATCAAAAAATAATAGTTCTGGAAATTCCAGTTATTAGACTTTGAACTATAAGTTAAAAAAAAGAACAAAGGAAGATCCGGCGAATAAAAGTACACATTAAGTTTATTAAGTAAATTGAAAAGATGTTAAATTTAAAGTTGATGAATTTGAAAAATGTATAAAATTGTACCATTCCTGAGTTATTACTGTTTGATTTCAAAAATAATTATTATCATATGCATTGCAAAATTCTTTTAAAATGCAGCTTATATAACAGAATTAAGCTGAATAGAAAAATCTCATCAGTCTTCAAGCTCACAGCAAAATCTTCCATTCACTTTCAGAGTTTTGATTTAATCATAAATTGTTTCCTCACAATATATTCGTTTCATGTCGCTTTTTTTGATTTAAGATATGAAAACATGATAAATACCAAACTTCAGGCATACGTTATAGGTGATCCTTTTAATGAATTTAAAGATATTTCCAAATCGAAAACAAAATGAATTTGAAACTTTGAAAGCCCTACGCACTGCAAAACACTGAGATAAATATTTAAAGAAAATTAGTTAAATATGATCATAATGTATATAAATCATTTTCTAAAGTGGTGCAGTAGAACCCACAACCAACATATCCCGATAACTACGCAACAAAAAAAAATGAAAATAACAAATAAACATACCAAAAACCAAAAAAAATATCTCTACAAAAATTAACCAAAACAATAAAATAAGGCAACTTCTGTAAAGTCAAAAACCACAAAACAAAAAAAAAAAGTTATTACCAATTATCCAAAACTATTATCGTTTTGAATTACTTTTAGTAAGTAGAACTATAAGTTTGCTATTGACTCTTCATTTTGCAAATAAGAGTTAGAAAACTGTATTTAAAATTAATTTTATTCTTTATATCAATATTTCATTTGCATCACTTTTTCCTAATTTACAACAGATTACATCGATCATATTACAATAAGAATGTAAAGAAATAAATGTGAAAAGTTACGGCAATAGCACAAATTGTGAGAAAAAGTAGCCTAATGACACAAATTTCTCAATAAATGGACAAACATTTTAAACTAAAACGTCAAATTACGTAAACTGATATTTTAATTTCGCAAAGAATTTACTGATTCAATTTATTTGTCACATAATTTTTTCATCTTCGCAGTTCTTCTTTTAGATTAAACTTTAAAATTTCTGAAGATTTTTATCAAATAAAATGCTATACTTTATATCTAAGTACATGCAAATGTCATTCTCTAAATTCTAAATTCATTTTTAAATTATATTTCTTTGTTAAATATTTTTGTATTGCAGCTTTTCAACTAACGAAAGCAATCTAAATCTATAATTTTTAAGTTAGCCCAAGACACCTGGATAGAGAATGACTGAAGGATTGTGAAATTAAATACCTGTATATGGAATAGATAGATTGGATACACATTATTTGAATTTTGAACAGAAAGTATGAAAAGAGAAAGAGTGATTACAATATTCTGATGAGGTTGTATTTTGAATTATAAATATGAGCTTTTTAAGAAACAACTATCGGACAAAAACACGTGTAAAAGCATTGTCTCACGGAAGGGAAAATTGCAGCTCTTAGAAGATTATTACTAAAAACTATTTCTTCTTGTATTGAAGTATTTATGGTAGAAACTGTCCTCTCTAATCATGGTAAATCAATTTCAGAGAATAGGCTTCTTCCTGAAGATTATTTTCCACATTTGTAACAAATAAAAGCACCTGAAAGCAAAAGAAATTTTTTGAAAAATACTCGAAGTTTGTGAATTTCAACCTGCGAATGATTGATAGGAAGGAGTTACCAAAAATTATGCGAAAAAGATTAAAAAATTAATATTTTAAAATCCATTCGAAAGTTGGAAACCTGTTTTGCTTAAAAAAAACAAATACCTCAGGCAATTTCAAGCTATTATTTAGCAAGAATGTGATAGAAACGTCAACTGCTTTGTAGCCAGAAAGTGTAACGATATCATTTTCAATCCGAACATATTCTGGATGAGAACAAGAAATCCGAAATGAACGTTCCACGCCATATCGATTCCTTATAGCTAATGTCTGGAAAAACAGAAATATGAAACAAATTCATCGAATACCATGTGATAAGACACCATATTAGAAATTAAAATCACAATAAAAATTTTTTGAAGAGAATTTTTTTGGGTGTAGTATGAAATGGAGTCTAAGCCTGTAATAATATAACTTACAATTGTTTGATTCCTTTTATTTTGCAAATAAACTTCAAACATTTTAGTGATATTGGCTTCTTGGATATTTACTGCAATCATCCATTGATACAATAAGTGATTTGTTCGTTGATCAGTTGCCGAAACTAGCATCGCACGAGAACCTTCAAAATTGTGCATTTCATATACCTCTTTTGATACTTTTTTTTACATCACAAATATTTGATAGCAATGTTTTGAATAAGTCACGATCTATAGAATGAATACACTGAAAATGTTTTCTGAAAACAAATTCTGAAGAGTAAGAAAAGAAACCGTCATATAAACAAAGAGATAAGCATCGATACTGCTAAGTACGATCCTTCTATTCATAGAAGTATCGATTCCAAAGTGGATATTCGATGCTACACACAGATCAAATTGATGATATAATTAATCCATTTTATGAAATCAACAATTAATATTTTATCATTCTCCTAAATAGAAATACAACTTAATTTTACAATTAAATCAAAGATTTTGATTTAAGTAAAAGACACATCTCTCAGGTAGAAAGGCATTTTCTGGCAAATAAATGCTACATGAATGTCATTCAAGGTTATTGCAGTATAGATTGCCTTCTCTCATAATAGACATCCTAAATCCTCGATAATTTTGAAAATAAAACGTTCTTATAATACATATATGCACTGTATAATAATGAGAAATTTTTAATTTTTTATATCTGAAAGGCATTTCTCTCAGGTAGAAAGGCATTTTTCTCTATGAGAGCAGCCTTCGATCTTTTCGATCTTTTCACACAGAACGAATTTCTTGATGAGAAAAACAGACATCGTTTGAGGATTCAGGAACTGATAAGATTATCACAGTAAAATCAGTACTGACTGACCTTGAGAAAAGACCGATAAACAAAGTACAGAGATATTAAGGCGTTGGCTAAAAAATTATTCCATATTTCTGTACTTAGAAATACAGCAATTTATATTCCTTCACTAGGGACAAATCCAATCAAAGGAATGTTAACCTGTGAAATCTGGCAAGAAATTAATTACAGCATCTAAGGTGCCACCACGTTGCACTGCAATTGCATCTGATGGATGAATTTCAAAATTTTTTGAAGAACTTCCAAAATGAACCAAACCATCGCAGTTATCATCAATTCTAAAAGCAATTTATAAATGCATATTTTATTTATAAATTCAGAATAAAATCTAAATCCATTATAATCATGAATTGTTTGGATAAATTACAGAAAAAAATTTTAAAAAGGGCAAACAAGGAAATAAGATTTAAATCGAAAATGTTAGAAGGGAAGACTCTGTAGCCCTTAATTAATCAGATCCATAAAATAATTAGCAGCAATAAAATACATGAAACCCCTATTTTTTCATTAAATAAAAAGCATATCATCATTGAAAGAAATGCTTCCTACGACCAAAAAGTAAAGAATTCCAATATTAAAAGTCTTGATTTACTTGAAAATGATGGGAACTTTGAGGAGCTGTGCTCGAACAGCATTCAAATTGATTTGATTCACCGCATGAACGTGTATTAACCATGCTCCGAGAACAGTGCTATAGTACTGATCAGCAAAAAAGATCACTGTGAATGTTCGCAACATTGGTGCTTTACCAGTTTGACACTATAAAAAGTTGCAAATTAATTTCGTAAATGGAATAAATAAAACTTGAAAATTAGTGCTTTCTTATCAAAATAATTGCTGCAGAAAAGCTATTACATACCGTAAAATGTAAATCCTGAGAACCATCGCAATTATTTTTAAATGAGGTAAGTACAAGAGGATCTGTACAACGAATGGAAAACACTCGACCTGAAATAAAACATTTTGGAAACGATAAGTAAAATTATATGAGTTTTCCTTTTTTTTTGCTTTGAAGATAAAATAAATTCAAAAATTGTTTCTATGACTACTTTTATATCCGGTAATGTGAATAATCTTGGACAGTGTTGCTTCCGCTTCATGATAGAAACGAAATGAATTGAAAATTATGTTGTGACGATTTTCGACCAATAAATCTAAGATTGCTATCGGTTCACCACCAGTTTTCTTTTTGAATATTATCTGAAACTTATAGGAAATTCATAAGTGTTCCAAAATGATTCAGGAATTATAATCGCATAAAATATTAAGTCACTGGAGGTCCTTCTGGCAATGTGTGAAATAACTGCCAAGATGGTGCTGAACTGCAAAAAGTAAGAATACAATAATTTCATTTGAAAAATTCTTTGAGATCTAAATTTTTATATACAATTTCACGTTACTTTAACTTGATTTCTGATTTGTTCCTGAGGTATCGTAAATCCATCGTAAATAAATGGTGCACATATAGTTTCCATCGGTTTCAGGAAAATCTGCACTTCGGTAATTTGCTCATTTTCTCTTGATATTTGATAAAGATCCCTTTCAAGTGGAGTTTCAATTCGGTACATATTTTTGTAATATTGCCATAATTTCACATCGAAAAGTGGTCTACAATATTTCGAAAATTACAATATTATAACTGCAAAAAAATGCAAATGGATTTGCTCCAAATCTGTCATGGATAATTTTAAAATATTTTTAAAAATTCATTGGAAATTCTCAATCTTTTTTTAAGAAAGTTGGATACAAAATTAGATTTTGGAGATAAAAGATTGAAAATGTTGTTCAAGCCTCCCTAATTACATAAAGTGCGAATATAGTTACTAAATCCTAAGAAAGCAATATCGATTAAGAATTCAATAAAATTACTTCAATGTACTCTCGGCAATGTCTATAACGATGACAGTTGGGTATGATTCAGTATTTTGAAGCATGTACTCGAAAAATATGACTTGGCCATATTTTGGATAAATGCTATAAAAAACTAAGTGCACTGGAGTAAAATAAATTTAACATTATTTAAACAATTTGATTTCATTTCAAAAAAAGACATCCAAACAATTGAGATTCTATCATACATAATGCACTATCTCTCTGTTAACTATAATTAAATTAGAATTATGATTGTTCTTCGAAGATACGTTTCAATAGGCTAATTCAAACCGATATTCCGTAGTTATTGCTTTGAAAACAACTTTCAGTAGCTTCGATGCCTTGTCTTCATTACGCAATTTTTTATAAGCTTCCAATTCCTGCTGAAACAAATACCGCTTCATTGATCCCTGCAATATTTCTTGCTCTGCGAAATAATATTGGACAGTGTGATTGAAAAGAGTGAATTTGGAAATCGTGTTTGCTGATGAATGCCGTTTTTTTCGATTTTTGGACTTTCTAACAAATCATCCGTTACTTTTCCGAAGTTACAAGGGGAAATAGTTATAAAATGTTAGATAATAATAAGCAATTGCTTGCTATTACTTGACAGTTTATAAACTATTATGTTAGCATTCTTTACAAATCTTTAATGTTGTCATTCATACCTTTGTCGTGAGCGCCTTTATTGCTGAAGTCTGGTTTTTTGTCCCCGTTGGCGGATCGTTCATGATTTCATTATAACGCTGATTTATGTCCAATCTCAAAGAATTCAATTTTTGGGAATAATTATTCAGATTCTTGAGGAGAATTCTTTAATTATTTATTATTTCTGAAAACTTTCGTTCCCACTAATTATTAAAAAATTAAATATTCGTTGTGAATTATTGAAATTAGATATTCATTATGCTCGATAGTAAAAAAGTTAATAGGATTCAATTTTTCTATAGTACGTACGGGTCCCAAGTGTTGGAAATCGAATTATTCACCTTTGAGCAGCCAAGAAATGCTGTAGTGAATTTTCATGGATTGGATTCAGTGGTTTAGCCCTAATTCTGTACGATTCATTTTCACTTTGACCAATTCGAGTTGACTGACGACTCACAATTGTGCTCATTTGATTTCGTACTGAATCTAAACTTGGAGCATGTAGTGGAGTGAAAGAAACAAGTTCTCCTCGCAGACCAAATGTAAACTTGACGAATATATTTTGATGCTTGAAAATGACAAAACATCGTTGTTGTTAGCTTTCTTGTACATTGAATAGAGCGAAGCGAAGCCTGCTGCGATGGCAAACACATTTTGCCTACCAAATAAGTCAGAAGAGTTGAATTTCATACACTAATATACTAATGATGTGAGCCTTTCAAAGAGAAAAAATTTAAAGAACGCGAAAGTTTTCACTTTCATCGATCGCATAGCAATCATTATAAAGATACAGGAAATCAATGAACGAATGCTTATTTATATTCATTACAAATTTTTCTTTTTCATAATTTTTTTTAAACTCTAGCTGTCGAGTTATCTATTCATGAAGCAATTATTATACCTATTTGTTTAAAACATGGATAGCCAATATTGATTAATCGAAGTAATACTTGACATGTTATAATGGATGGTTCAGGAAAACAGCTGAGCACTGCCGCACTTTGTACATCAACCTGCACTGCTTCAGATCCATGCCTCAACAAGGACTGTAAAAAAAAATTCTAAATCTTTATTAGCTGGAAATCTTTGAGTTATAATTTGTCTCATTCGAAAGTTTCATTAGAAAGTGTATTTTCTGGAAATATAATATTAACGATAATTCTCTTGGAAAGTAAAAAATGTTTTTTTTCTGAGCACCCAGCATTTTAATTGAAATATTCGAATAAAACGATAGTATTCTAAATAGTTTGAGTAAACTAACCTTTAGTGGAATGTACAACTTGCCAAGAGGTAATAAACAGTCAGCATCCCATACATCAATAATCGCAAAGCCATTTATAAGATAATTGATATAGTCTTCTCCGTCTCCATCTGGAAGTGAATTCGCATCGACCATATATTTGACCTGAAGTTTCAAATAATAACACCTTTTTGAAATTCATGAATTATTCTCTCTGATTTTCTATAAGCAAAAATAATTATTCACAGTGAAGCCATTGCAGTCTTCCTTAACGGTCTCTTCAGTGTTTCCCTTGCGCTTCAAAATGAATAGCTGTTCTTGAGTTGTTTTTGTGTGAACCTTATCTAACCATAATCTGTAAATTATGATTTGTAATTATTTGAAAGGATAATCTTTACATTTTATGCTCGCTATATTTGCTGTAAATTTTTAATCTCTAAATTTTGATGAACATTTTTAATTAAAAAATTAAATGACAGAACCTTTCAGTTGTAATTGTATGGAAGCGATAGAATTCTATTGTAAAGAATACTGCGTTTGGAGTTTTGATGCAACCAACATCTTCCCTGCTAAAATATTCGGAAAATTTAATACAGCCATGCATAAGAATTGAATTGGCCAACTTTAAATTATCACTATTCAGCTAATAATTAATTTAATGTTAATAAGAACCTGATTTGAATGGCCATAAACTGCACAATGATTTCATTTGTATTTAATTTATCGTTCAGTTCAACATTGATATCTGGAGTCTATAACAAAAGCCAATAGAACCCATTCACACAATTGCAACATTATTATTATATGAATTATTATTTCTTTATAAAGAATGCTTTCTGTTTGCAAATTAAGCATTACTATTCTAGTAAAAAATAAACTTTAAACTCTTCAAAAATTTGATGGAAATATTTCATTAAAGTTTTCACTATAAAAATTCAACAAAACCTACCGGGAAATTTTCAATGTCTAAAAGTTTCGGTTTGTTTCCATTGCGATCTTTTATATGAGTGAATGAAATGTCGGCAAGGATAGCAAGAGATGCACGAGATATATTTGATGTCCTCAAAAATATTACAGCAACAGTTTTAAAAGTTTCTATAAAACTGTAATAAAAAGATTGTAAGCGATAAAAGCTCAATATATCTTACCTAGCTAATGGTGAACTACAAATTTTCACGCTCGTATAAGTGCCACATTTCCGCTCATCATTGGAAGAAATTTTTTCATTCAATTTTTCTTCTTCCTGAATTACATATATAATTCGATCAGCGCTGTTCAATATACCAACAATGCTATGTAAGGTACAAGTGCGCACAAATGGACAATACACTTTGTAGCTGCTGTGAGCAATAAATGTGTCACATTAAACACCCTAGCTATTTTAAAATTACCAAAAAGTTACCAATGATAAGGGTAATAATGACTTGGTTTCGTGCCTGAAATAAGTTGAATTTTTCAATTACACTCTACCTTTTTTCATTTCGAAGGAATAAAAATCACATTTCTCCAGTAAACCATCGACCCAAATATGAATAATGCAGAAAAGAGAAGCGCAAACCTATTTTCGAACATTTTTTTAGGATTTTGAGCATTTTTAGTTGAGCTAAGTTGCAATCCAACAGTTTCCGTATTCAATCTTTTCCAGTTTCGCGTCGGACACGCATTGTTGATGCTGGTTGAAGCATTTAGCAGGTGCTCAATCTGGAATATTTTTGTTTCAGTTAAAGAAACTGCTACAATGTCTATTTTCTCTATTTTCTAGAATTGCTACAAATTATACATTCAAGTTATTAGCAGTTAACGACCAAAAATTCAATAGGTGATAATGATCAATTCAGATGATTAATCGTATAATGTTATGCGAAATTAAAGATGGGTGAAGATACGATTGAATATTAAAATACATTCTTATAAATCTAGAAATCTCAATAAATTACCACTTTGCGCTAAAATACAATCATTTCAACAAAATAATTGAGGAAAAAAGCAAAATACAATTAGCACTTTTTCTAACCTCTCCAAATTCTGAGCACAGAAATGTAATTTTAATCCTTGGAAACTGATCACGAGAGGTCAAATCAGAGTGAAAAGCAAGTGAATTTTTGAAAGCTAAACGTTCATCTGGATTGATGTCTGGTCCTGAACAGATGCTTATTTAAGTTTTTTTCCTTATAAAGAGAAAGACAATTCTTTAGCTGGACAAAAAGAAATAGGAATCAATACTTTATGTGGAAAAAAAAGTATGAAAAAACTTTTACTCATAATTTGCATATTTTGATTTGCACAATAAATGTAATGAATTTGTTATAACAAACGAAAGTACAAAGTAATAAAGATGAAAAAAGAAATACCTCCGATTAAAGGGAGAGTAATCTCATCATTCGGTATGATATCTACAGCAAAAGGACACCAAGCACCCCAACAGACCATAACTGATTGTGATGAATGTACCGTCTTCTGAAAGTGAGATTTACGTAAAGGTGATTAATGAGGTAAACTGGTAAATTATCGTTGGTAGTTTATCAATGAAATTGATTACTAAAATTTATATGAGGTAAAGTGGTAAATTATCGTTGGTAGTTTATCAATAAAATTGATTACTAAAATATAATTTTAATAAAAAATACTGACATCACAAGAATAAACTCCAACAAGATAATCTAGTGAAAAGACGACAGCGAAATGAGGATCTGTAATCATTCTATTTAAAATTACACTTCCATTCATGAACAGATTTTGCGATTTTGATCTGAAATTATGACAATTTTTATATCCACAAAATAATTAAAATTATTGCATGCGGTAATCTAAAAATTCTACAGAAATTTATATTGATTTGATCATTAGCTTATACCGTCTCATTTCCAAGCCGGTGCAAATTTGATTTTCGGACAAACTAAGGTGCAGACAGTGCGGCTTTTCCACATAGCATAAACCGTTATGCATACCAATCTAAATTAGTTTCGAAATTTCAAAAATTAAAAAATCTTGAAAAAAAAAAAGGTTCAAGCCGTCTTATCTCTCGTACTTTAACATACTGACTCAAAAATTAACCACATTAAAAAAAGTTATCATCTCTAGCTTTAAAGAAGCATCAAGAAATCCTGGAAAGAGGAAAACGCGGGACGTACCGTAATTCTTCGTTCCAGAACTTCCATCATTTTAACATTAACATCTGCAGGTGATCTGTTTGCCCGATAAAGCCTGTCATTATTCATTAAATGAAGTAGAATTTGCTCAAATTTGCAGATATCCATACCGAATGAAACATTCATTTTCTTTAAAATGGATGTTCGACTTTTCAATGCTTCTGGATGAATGCTCTGAGATTTACCTAAACATTTCTATCATTATAATTGCTTTTTTCAATAAATTTAAATTCAGTAAAAAGTGCGAAATTCTGTAAGTAGGAAAAGCAAAAAGTTTACATATTAAGTCTAACCATCATAAAATGTTCGCAAGCCAGGAATATCATCCCATTGATCAAATATGTACCAATCAGGGATATAGTTCAATACATTGTACATTTCTTGATGTATTTGTAAAGAAACTTCTACACCGATATTTATCCTTCGGGGAAGGAGATCTGCCATGTCCACCTCAGAACCCATAAAAAACAACGCTTTCGGAGATCCCGGATATAATGGCAGTCTGAAACAAGTCTTGTATTGATCAGATATGTATCAATCAAGAATATAGTTCAATATATTGCACATTCATGAATTTAACTAGTCAAGTTTAACTTGAAGAGCATTTGGCTGCACAATTAAAATGATGCAGTGAGGAAGTGATCCAACCGACTTTGCCAGGAAGTAATGGATGACTCAGACAATTTAGCATATATTAAAAGTCAAATGAGCAAAAATATTTGTAACACCTGCGAAAGGCAGTCGGATTTTCGGTGTTTCCCAATGGTAGCGAGGTCCATGCTGCTGTGTATAAATGACCAGAATTTTGTTCCCGCTGCTCTCCCTCAACCACTTCCAGGACAATGTCGATATTATTGGTAAATGAACACCAGAAGAAGATTACCTGTGACTTTTTATCATACTTTGCTCTCAAAACATTCCATTAGTTGGCTGATAAATACAGATAACTCAACATCAACAGCACTATAATTTTAATTCCCAAGTTTTAAATTTAAATCGAAAGTGCAATTAGATAATTTGGATGCTGTAAATTAGAAAGAAACTTTGATATACATACACATATATCACTAAAGGGAAATATTTGCTACCTCAGTAAAGGGGATGCAATCGGAATCGGAACGGCACCATCTTCCGCAAAACGGTTTCCCGAAGTAATACTTTTGCTGTTTATCGTAGAAATATGCATGAATGCGATATAATACATCCATTTTTAACTGCAAAATAACGAAAAAGTTCTACAAATAGGTGAAACTTTTGGTAACACTCTCCTTTTTTATTATTCTCCCCTTCCCCCGCTTCCCCGCTATTTTACCCCGTTCTCGTCTCGGTATTTACAAAAGGAATTACACCAGGCAATCGTGCATTCCGTAACGATAATGCATAGCATTCCGGTTTATCATATCCGTCAATCGGTATACGTCGTGGTGGTACACGCCGACACATTTGCACTTTTTGATACCATTCGTTGGTATTATTTATTTGCGACTTATCTTCAAACATAACTGAAATTTTTTCAACATTTTAATTTTAATTTGAAAATATATGCTTTGACAAATGATATGTAAAATTATGTGGAAATAATAGACAAATAAGAAGGTAAATTCTAATTTCTCTTTACCACGAAAAAATAAAGACTGAGAAATGTTGAAACAATGGAGAATTGTCAAAGATAGATGTAAAAGACGGAATAATTAATTAGAAGGAATGAAACTACAATCTAATCATTGAAAGCTCGATCTAACGAGCTCACCGTATCCATAGTAACTCCAAAACTGTCAAATTCTAACTTTCAAATTGGCGCCATTATTTCTTTCTATAACAATGAATGCGATACGCAGAATGCTCATCAGTTACAGTATGCTTATTGATCGATTGGCTGTTGCATTTTCGTTGTTTTTTCCGTCCTGTTGGTTGGGATTTATTTGTGGGTTTTGTGGGGTTTGAGAGTTACTGGTGATGTATTGATTAGCTTATCGGTGATTTTTAAATATTTAAATATCAGTTCATTGCAATGAAGAGGATATTTATGGTGATTTCAAAGAGTATTTATGTCAGTCTGTCTTGTCTGTTCCTTCACTGATGTCTCATTAGCTTGTGTGTGTCATACCTGAATATTCATTTGAGGAAGGACAATGATCTGAGAAAGTTATTTACCCTATTGGAGTATTATTGATGCGCAATTCGTGCGTTCATTTCTTTTGCATTCAGTTAAGGGAAGGAAATATCGTAAAAATGTGAATAACAGTTAATTATTATTCCTTTATTTATCCTAACTTCGTTTTCAGATTGCTTTGTATTAGTAACAATGAGAACAATTTTACAAGAAAAAAATCCAGCAGTTTTGTTTTGTGTGTATATATTGTCTTTGCCAGTGATCGTTACTTACAAATGTATAATCTTAAATTTTGGTTTTATGTCATAGAACTGCGGAATTGTTGGTTAGGCATTCTTAACTGATGCACTGTTCTTACATCCTTTGGCAAGAAATTATTTTTGATAGGTTATTTCGTGAACTTTTAAATTATGTAGGTAAAATCCATTTTTTGCATTGCTGTTGTCTGGAGCGGTGGGTTTGTTTACTTTTCTTTATGTGTTAAATATGTCTCTTTTTGTTATCTCTTTTTTCACGATGTATAGATGTACTTCTTAGAAGTTTGGGTTTTGCTTCTGATATATTAGATATTTGTTTTTTCGAAAGCTCCTTTTTTCTGCACATAGTTCGTTAGATGTAGCAATAATTTACTGACTGTTAATTTTTTATTGTTATAGATTATGATGACTAAAAACAATGTCATGACGCTAGCTCCAAAACCATCGTCAAATAACCTTGGTGAGCACTCGCAGCGAAAAACCAATTTAAATTTATCTACTAGCGACACAAAAGATGTCAAGGAAGAGCAGGCAATAGTGGATGATATCGGAACGAAGATAAAACTAAGCAGTTTTGGACAAAGAAGGTAAAATTAATAACATTTACATATCCTTGAATTTTTTTTCAGT